AAAAAAAAAAAAAAAAAAAAAAGCCAAAAAAGCTCGTGGCTGCTCACAGTCTCCAGAAGTAGTCCTGTCTTCATCTCCAGTCCCGGTTTGCAGAGAACTGACGCTTTGCTCCTGCTCTCCCTCTACTGCAGATAATTTTTTTTTCCTCCTCTCCCCGCCACACTCTTCTGTTTATTTGTATGTAAGGCAGCGCTACTTTGTAAACACATCACACACGGCCCCAGGGCCGTTCAAAGAGCTGATTGCAGCAAAATACTTCCAAACCCCGGGGGTCCCAATTTTTTTTTTTAAGTCAAAAGGAAAAAAAAAAAATTAATGCAATGTTACTGTGGATCTGTGCATGAAGCTGGCACAGGACCGGCCCCACATATCCGTCCACACTCCCACCCACACCTAAGAAATGGAGCGGCAGATGGGCGCAAGTCTTGTCCGAATTTCCAAAATAAAATGAAAGAAAAGGCCTGGAGGAAGTGGAACTCGAGCGCCTTTGGAGAGGCTCTGGCTGGGGCGCACACGCACGTCCCAGTGTTGAAAGGGCTTGGAAAATACATCCATAACCCAGAGACCCATCTTAACACGGCACCTACCTTAGTCGTGGAAGAGCTGCATTGGCAGGACGGCTGTTTTCAACACATCCAGATTTTTCTAGGGAACCCTGACGGAGGGTAGGATTCAGGAAGGCTGTGTTGAGTCCGGGAGTCTGTGCTTTTTCCAACCCCCCCCCCACTTCCCTAGATCTGCTCCTCCAGAGGAATGTGGGGACCACCGACGCGGCCGTTGGGAGGAAATTGGTTGTTTCGGCCCCAAAGGGGAGGAAAAAGCCACCCAGTGAGAGCAGGAAGGGCAGAGCGGGGTCTGAATGAGAGCTCTGTGCGGAGAGACAGAGACGGGTCTGCCAGGGAGAGGGGAGACTGGAGAGAGAGCTCCTGATGTCTCCCCGATCCCCCTCTGCTATTGGACCAAACTGAATGAAATTTACACAGCCGGCAGCCAATGGATCTCCGCACTGGGTCCCATCACTACAGAAACCACATCCACAGCTCCAAGCCGATGCAAAGAGCAGCTAATCCCAGTGCAAACCAGCTGTAACAGAGATCCCCGGGGCCGGGGTGGCGAAACAGGTGAGCGCGTCACGCGGGGCCACCATGCCACTGGGGCGCGGAAGAAAGCCGGCTGCCACTGGGGTTGGTTCTGCTCTCCTCCACCCCAAACACGCTACTGTATTTGCAAACATCTTTAACTCTTGGAGGCTTTGCACCGCAAGAAGGCCGGCAGAGAGGAGCCCTGCGGTTGGGCTGACAAATATGTTACTGTAACAGGGTGCTGGTGTGGTTACACTGGAAGCAACAGTATCTTTTTTCTTTCTTTCTTTTTTTTTTTTTTTTTCTTCATCAAATTGCAATGGAAGGTCTGTAAAGGACAGAGCCTCCCTGATGCCCAGGTGATGGGTCCATACCTCTTGTTTGCTTCTTTTCGGACACAGTCATGTTTTGGATGAATACAGCACTGGGAGAGGTTTTTAGGATTTGGCCAGTTATAGTTAAACATCTCAACCCTGCTTCCAGGGTCCAGTTAATCCTTCCCCGGCCAACTTCAAGTTTGCCGGTAGGACCTGATATGTATCCTTGGCTTGGAGGGAGCTGGCTCCGCATGGGCCGTGTCTGAGGTCTCTAACCGATAAGTCAGGGGACGCTGTACGAACGCAGATGCTAAAACCACATTGCTGGGGCTCAAGTTGCACATGACCTTAGGCGTGGATTTAAGTGTTCTGTCTCTGTCTCTGCATCCGTAAAATGGAGAAGATAGAAGTAGGGACTTGCTTGTGTCATCGTGATAGGAGCTAACACAGGACTCAACATTCAAGAAGCCCTAAATCAGAGCTTGCTTTTCCTAAAATTATTTCACAGGGTGTATCTATGGAAGGGTGTCTTTATTAAAGGAAATATATTTATTTTTTTAAAAGATTTTTTATTTATTTATTTATTTGACAGACAGAGATCACAAGTAGACAGAGAGGCAGGCAGAGAGAGAGGGGGGAAAGGGACTCCCTGCCAAGCAGAGAGCCCAATGCAGGGCTCGATCCCAGGACCCTGGGATCATGACCTGAGCCCAAGGCAGAGGCTTTAACCCAATGAGCCACCCAGGTGCCCGGAAATGTATTTTTTGAAGGAAAAAGGTGATGTCCCCTACCCAGAGGACATCGTCACCATGCCTTCTGTGCCTAGACAGCCGAAGTAGGCATCCAGCCCGCAGTCGGTACTTGCTGTGTTGGAAAAATCAGGGATTCTTCCCAAGTTTTGAGAGAAAAACTTATGGTGGGTTAGGAAGGCAATAAAGGGGAAGGTGATGGATACTGAGTCAGGTTACTTGCTTTCATTTTAAGTGTCTACCCTTGCTAGCTTTGACATATTGGAAAGTGGGTCCTAGTCTGTGAATCTGAGAGATTACAGCCGTCAAAGTGTGATTTTAAAGTGATCTTTTGTGGGTTTCTGGGGATGATTAAGTGAGATACTATGTATGAAAACACCTTTTACCAAAAAGATGTATACAAATCTATGTCTGCATATGTATATATAAAACTTATTATATATAATAACAAATTATATATATTTATTATATAGATACACATATATGACTCATAATAAGTCATATATAACAATATAATAATTATATAATAAGTCATATGTTATATACAACTTATTATATATGATATTATGACTTATATAATACATTATATATAATAATGTATTATATAATAATAAAACAATATGTTATATTTAATAAGTCATATATAGCTTATTATATAAGTCATATATATCATATATAATAGTAATATATTATATATTATACATTAATATATGTTATATATTATATATTATAAATAAATTATACATATTATATAAGTTATATATATTTCCAATTATACATACTATATATATTATATATATTATACATATTATATAATAAGTTACATATATATATATATATATATATATCCAATAATAGAAGACATATGTATTTCCCAAAGCAGAGCTTGGAAAAGGGACTCCATCCGAACACAATATTTTATAGGAGGCCTGAAACTCATTGGCTTTGCCAAGAATGTATTAATTCATTCACTGACTTATAAATTCAAGTATTCGTTGAGCACAGGCATAATCCTAAACACCGAAAATGCATTTGTGAGGAAAACACACCCATTTATTTTTGAAGAAGCATACGGTCTGGTGGGCAAGGCGGCCAATAGTGTAAGAAAAGGAAATGATCACAAGGTATGGGGAGAATGCTCTGATGCCTGAATTCATAGGGATGCATGGAGGTGGGAATGCTGAAGGAAGGGTCTTCCTTTGAAAGAGAGGTACCTAGCCATTGATCAGCTGCAGAAGTTGAGGAAGAACGCTACAGAAACTCGGCAGATAACAGATAGCATCGACTACCTGTTGGTGGGAATTGGAAGCAGAGAGGGTGTGGTGTGAGTAGGGCACGCCGGGCACCAACGGGGCAGGTAAGACAAGAGGGTGAAGGTGTGTTCTGGGACCTATGTGTAGAGGATGTTGAATGCCATTGGGAGCCCCCATGGAATTTATCACATTGATGGTGGAGCACTGGGTACATAGTGTAAGTCACAGTAGGAGAGAAAGAATCGGATTTCCGTTTTAGGACAATCACAGTGGAGAATGAGCTAGAGGGGACCAAACTCTGAAAACAAAGGGATACTTTCTGAGTCTCTTGGGAGGGCGGGTGTCCTAGAGAAATGGAGTAATGGAGAGAGAGAAGAAAAGGAAAACAGGAACTGATGTGGGTGTAGGAGAGGTCATGTCTAAATACATTAAGGCAGCCTTAAAAAAAGTGCACTTGGGGAGGGAGATCTTGGATCCATGGGTAAGATCTTAATGTCTGTCTTAGTGTGGGGGTGGATTGGTTTAGTAGCAGACCTGTTTCCTGAGGTCTGAATGATTTTATTGTGCTTTAACAAAATACTTAAAAAAAAAAAAAAAACCCGAACCCCTGAAAAAAAAAAATACTTTAGCAGAGTAATTTGTTAAGAAAAAGTGAATGTATAATTGTATGAGTTTATAATTTTCCCTAATCCTAATCACATGAGACCAGGGTCAAAAGAAGAAGAACCAAAACACACCAGTTCTTACCCTGTTGGGAGAACAGATTGTAATGTGATGAATGGAGTAGGAAAGATTTTAAATCCAGAATTCTGGGAGCAATAAGGGTATAATTCTCTATGCTCCCACTAGAAATCTAGTCGCACAGTGTGCGCCAAGATGAAGAAACAGGTCATGGAAAGATATAAACCCATGGCATACAAAAAAGAGCCATTGACCTGAACTGAGTCTGGTACAGAGGAAATGGAAGGAGCCTGACCATCTCCACTGTACCCTTGCTCTTCTTCATGTTTCCATCTTGTTGTCTCCATCCACCTGATTCTGGGATAATGTTCATGCTCCTGTGGGGTTGATACAATCAACCCTAAATGCAGTCTTGGCTAAACCAGGTGGGCCATTGCAATACTAAGTCATGACTCAGCTAATACAAGGATTACAACAAGACAGAAATATGACAAAATCGAACAATAATTATTAATATAATAGTAATATATATTACCTGATTAATTGCTACACAGTACTGGAGATATAAATATGTATAATATGCAGGATGCTTAAAGTCTAAGAGGGTGTTAAGTCAGTAAAATCCAAGGTAATGTATGGTATACACCATCTTGGAAGCATATGAGAAGCATAACAAGCTTCCTGAAGGAGAGATGAGAAAATCTTTCATCTGTAACTAAGGTTTTTCTGGGGACTTGGAGAGCAGAGGTGGGAAATCATTCCAAGCAAACATA